AGCAGCGACGACTTTGACCATTTCCGCCAAGCGATCCATCCCTGTTCTTGCAGTCATGATGGGCCTTTAGCTCACCACCACCTGGCTCCGTCAACTAAAGGCTATCTCGTCTTCTTGATGATATCATTGATGATTATTCCTTTGATGATCATCGCGTTCTCGTACGGCTACACCTTTGTTGTGTCCCGGCGACACAGAAAAGAGATCAGAGAACTGGGTGACATTCCAGGAATGGCTGTCTTCAAGCGCGAAATGAAAGGCGCCCGCACTCTGGCCATTCTTGTAGCCGTCTACCTTATTAGTATCATCCCATTGTTGGTCGTGACATGCCTCCGTTTTTCTGGCGTGCCTCCAAAGCGAAAAAATGTTAAGTTCATCGTGTTCGACGTCGCAAGAGGCTTAAACGCCATCTGCAACCCTTTTATCTACGGATGGAGAAACAAAGAACTTAGGAGAGCTTTCTGCAAGCTGTTAAAGTGCTCTAAATAGCCGACGAACTCCTGGACCTAAAATCATCCTCATTCATCATCATAATCATCATCGTCATAATCATCATCATCATTATCACTTCATCATCTTTATTATCATCGATATTGTACGTGTCATCTTCGTCATGATTTTCGTCATCATCATCTTGATAAATACCATCATCATCCTCGTCGTTATGATAGCCGTATTTATACTGGAAGACGTCTTAGACGTCCAGACGTATCAAACGTCCGACTGTTAAGTGCGTCGTTAAGTGCGTCCCGTTTTTGCAGCTAATAATAATAATAATAATAATAATAATAATAATAATAATAATGAGTTTTTATTTAATCAAAAGATAAAACTACATATCTTATGTTACAATAATACGGAAGATAAAAAACTATGATAAAAAATATCTACATATATATATATATTAAAAAAGTATGTCATTACAATAAATGGATCTTAAAAATCAACCTATTTACAAAGGAGTTCATAAACCGCTGTGTATTAATTTTTGGGCGCGCGCAGCCTTTTGTCCTAAGGTTGTGTACATAAGTCTTCTGGACAGGAATGATATCTTTCAGGGAGTGGCAATCCGTTGATATTAATTTCTCTAAAATGTTTCGGTCTTGTTTATTTAAAAGATCCTTGACAGAAACTGGAAATGAAATAAAACGGCGTTTGTGGCATCGGTCTAAAACATTTTGTATAACCGTACGATCGGACTCCAATGCCCTATAGACTGAAAGCGCATGGCTAAAATTAGGTAAAACAATAGTTAGTATATACACACTCAGTGATCTTGGTAATTCAAGCAATCTAATTGGTTAGCTATCTCGGACTATGACGTTATATTCACCGCGCTAGGCGGTGAATATAAAGCCGAGCAAAATCGCTGTCGTGAACTGGGTGTTTTGCCAAAGTTTCAAAGTAAAACCTGTTTGAAAATACACGAATATCCAAGTGCTGATGACTTTGAAGGCAAGAAAAGACTTCATGGTGTTTAAACAGCATGATTTATTGTGAAGTGCTTTACTTTAGCTGACTTTTTGTACGCTCGAAGCTATGTTTACCACTACAGAGGAAAACGAGGTCGCTTTGTCACTGTTTTGTGATTTCGGGATTTTCTCGCAAGACCAATTTTGCCTATAAATAGAGGTTAATTTATGGAGAAGAGAGGAAGGCAAATATTTTCGAAAATTGTACGTGCCAGCAAGTTAACAAGGCAAAGAACTTTGGAGATAAACAACGCTTACCTTGATCGCAGCCGCTGTTGACAGCATTTGCAAGAAGCGACGAAGAAAACTTTCTCATTCACGGTGAGTTGACAGAAACAAATAAAGCTCTAGATACTTTTCTTCTCAGAATTGGGTAGTAATTTAAATTTTCGGCGTTTTCTTTTAAACCGTTGATGCTAAAGCTTACAAAACTCGATACAAAAGGATTAAAACTATCATTTGCCATGTTTGAAGATACTGTAAAGATCTAACTTTTGCGCATCCACTGTTTACGGCTTCGTGTTCACGCATGAATTTTCACCCGTCAATCAAACTAATGGTTTTTTAATGGTTTCCTTTCTGATTCTGTTGAGATCACTTCGTGTGAATATACTAAAACAATTATTCACCTCAGGCTCAGTTAATATTGTTGAATAATCCCCTCGACTTCGTCTCGGGGATTATTCAACAATATTAACTTCGCCTTCGGCGAATAATTGTTAAATATAAAAGGTGATCTATCTCTGCCTGAGAGAAGTGGTCTTTTCTTAGTGTTCGTTTTCTCAGTGTTCGTAGCTTTGACAAGCTTGGTTCTTACATGCCCATTAAATTTCCCGTTACTCTGTAGAGCTACTCCTAGTAAAACAAAGCTGTTACATTGAGGAGTGGAGTACATTGTGATTTTTCTTTCCAACAACCAGCTCTTTGCATTTACAAGGGTTGCAGACCATTTTATTGTCTTTACACCAGGTTAAGAACTGTCCTACTAAGTCGGCAGGCAGGTCGCGGTTCCTAGTGACAGGCGAAAG